CACCGCGAGCCCCGGCCGGGGGTTGGGAGCGCTCTCGGGAGCGTCCCCACGCCGAGCGCGGCACCGAGCCAGCGCAGGGTCAGGCAGAGTCGGGGCACACGGCGCGTCGGGCACTGGGGAGCCCTGGGAAACGCCTGTTTCTGTCGCTGTGGAGTGACCCCACGGGGCTCGTTGCACTGGGCGGTCCCCAGGGAGCGAAGCGAGCACCGCGAACCCAAGACCTACGAGGCCCCTCGGCAACTCGCTAGCGGGCCTGTACTCTCCACCCACTATACTCCTGCGACTGAACCTCAGCAATCATTTCAATCATTATTTCAACCATTAATTTGTTAATTTTCACTAATACGGTAGGGGTGCACGAACCTTTCCAGTACTTTAAAATCCCTCCCAGTAACTCTCAAAATTACTTTATTAAACAGCAAAGACGCTGGAGGCAATGGATTTGGAACCCACCTAAAGAACTGCAAATAAATTAACTTTAGTCACGAGGAAATCAGGAAATAAAATGGGGAAGGGGAAATCTAAAAGACTAAACTGCTGTGAAATCCAGATTTATAAATTAATGAGATTACTTATGACAGAGTGCATGCATTTCATTAGCTTCAGAAACATAGGAACGCATTAATTCGTAAGACACATGAGGACAGTGGGGGTGTATCTCTCCAGCTTCAACTCCACAGAGTTTCAGAACAAGGTAGGCACCCAAAAAGCCGATAGTATGTGGTGGGCCAAATTCAACCACGCCGTAAAATATCCTCCGGAACTCACTGAGGGCACAGCATCACAACACTGCGAATTCGGAATTGCAGAAATTCACACGCAGAATTTCTGCTGAATAGAGCCTTACAGTAATTGTGTTAAGTTGTTAGTGGTTAACGAGACTAAAATATCAAATGCATGCTCAGCAACTCCCAGTTCAACTCACTGGCATCTGTAGTTTTAACACATCCATTATCAGCAATGGACATTATGCCAGAAAAACGCAACTCCTAGAACGGAAGATTTCTTTTTAAAGCTTTAAAAACAAAAGCAAAAGCAGCTTCCATAAGCAAAAAAAAAAAAACCCAACAACATAAAAACCAAGGCAAAAATGGCAAAAGAACTGCAAATGTTAGATGAAAAATATACAAAAACCCAACAAGCAACAGAAAAGTGTGCAAGATGTCATGAAAACAAAACGACCCTAAAAAAGCAATCCAAGCAGCTAAACCTGTTTCCTTTTGGCTTCTCGTCGGTTTACATATTTTACTAACAAGCTTCGGAATTGCCACTCATACCTAACCAGAATGAGTATCGTGAAGGTGGATCAAAGAATTTATTAAAATCATCAAAATCAATACATTTAGGCAAAGTCGTGAACTATGTTAAATCAAAATTAAGGAAAGAACACGTACAACAATTAACACTACAAGAAAGTCACTAGAACAAATCCCTAATTTCTACGTATCATGATCATTTTCTCAATCAACTCGTGTTCACAATGCGATCAACTGCAGCCATGAGTTAAAGGGACACTGTAATTTTTATTTGGAAAATACCTAGCACAAGGTAATTAATTTTCTGGACTCCCAATTCATTTTCTCTTCCTTCAGCAAGTGAACAAGAGAGAGAAATTTTGCACTTACTGTACATTCTGCTTAGAGGTGTAGGTAAGCCACTTCTTTTCTCACATATCATTTGCACGTGAAGAATTACAGTTTGAGCTTTCTCCGGCATAAATAGCATTTATTAGCAGATTCTTCTCAATAAAACTGATGGTCCCCAAGGAGGCCACCTCTATTTCCAGCATTGCACAGCATCACAAAAGCTTACTACTAAGTTTAACACGAGTGGAGACTTTAATTCAATTTAAAAAAAGAAAAAATTTCAGTGTCCTTTTAAACAGGCAAATATTCCTTGTTCATTTGCCACAAGAATGCTGAGAACATCTGCGAAGAAACACTCTGGATTTGTGACAGTTCCTGAATCGAAAAGGATTCTTACCTTTAGATGTGACAAGCAGTTCTGCAGGAAAACGTGCCAGTTATTTAAAAAAAACTGTTTCTGACTGACACACAACAGGCAGGTGATCAACGGGTACAAAGCCTGTGAGCAGGGGGGGAAAAAGAATCATAGCGGGACCACGGAGAAGCTGAGCCCCGGGCAAGGCCTGCGCCCAAGCTCAGAGTGCTGGCAGAGCTCACCCGCCGTACAACGGTCGCTTTCTCCCCGCGAGCGCGTGGTTCAATTCACGGGGTCCTACGTGCGGAGAGAGGGAGCTGCCTCGAAGAATGTTTTTCAGGGAAAACCTCCTCTACTCGGTAAAAACCGAGGAAGACTTTCGAGTGTCAGAAATGTTACTTCTCCTCCAGGTCTGCTTTCAGCAAGGAAGGCAGCACAGTTGAATAAAGTCTGTGCGTACGCTGACTGGAACGGCTTGGCTTTGCTTTAGTAACGGAGTTTTTGTTTAACCACCACGCACTTCAACAGAACACATCATGGTGGTGAACACCAAATCTGACAGCAGATTATATCGTTAGGGAGCAAAATTAAAGAATGAGGACGAATAGGTAAATTGTAATCTTGATGTAACAATGTTTCTGACTCCATAAATAAAATGACGTTGTGAATACTCACATCAACTACTTGACGTTACTCTTACACAAGGAGTTTCACCACGTACTATCACCTACACTCTCTATGCTCAGAACAGCAGAAAGCAAAGCTCATCCCTAACACGAAAGTGAGGACAAACCATTTTAAATTCACCCACATTTACTGGGTGTGCCAATCATAACGCGAAAATTAGCTCTACGCTTCTAGCCAAGGGAAGTGAAGCACGGCTGCCATGGCCATCAACCACTACCAAACACTGCACTAAGAGGAGATTTAAATCCTTGCTAGGATGCAATTTTAGGGGAAAAGCTAAGATGCAGTCTTGGGGGAAAAAAAAAACAACCCACAGACATTTATATCTGAAAGAGATAATTCAAAAATAGGGGAAAAAGCAAAACAAAGTGTATGAGGAGAGGAGAAACTAGGCAGCCCAGGGCTATTCACAGGCTGCTGCTTTGTTGGAAAAGCCCGTCTGACGCTTCCATTTTTTAACCAAAGATAATTTAAATACACGGACTCCCTGAATGAGAGCTCTTTTTAGAAGAGACATTCGCTTAAATAACTCCATGCTAAAACCCTCTAAAATAATCAAAGCCAAGCACTGATTTCAGTCTGACAGGAGCGATAACCGAGCATGCGCCTTGCACAAAGAAACAAATCAAAATTAGAGCAAACGCACACCCACCGCGTGACTTTAATCACACTTGAACTGAGGAGGAAAGCTGTAAATTCATACAGCCATTAGCTTGTCCTCACGCAATGTACTAGCTTAAAAGCCTAAGAGGAGCAAAACAGAGAAGTTGAAATATTTCTTTCAAATACCAGCGAGTGCTTCTTTCTTGAGCTCAGTTCAAAGGTGGTCTGATACAGCATCTCCACAAAATTTTTCAAACATGGCACATTCACTTCGTTTTTAACAGCCTGTTAAAAAAAAGACACACATAAATGGGTTGAAAGCTTGTATCGAAGGCAATTTAAATATACATTAAGATGTCCATGAATTCAAGAACATCGAAAAGTTAAATGTCACATCAGGCAAGTATTGGAGCGTATTTATTTGGAATAGAAACAGCAGCATCCGACCAAAGCAGGCAGCCACCTTCTTCATGCAACCCCCTGCAAGTCTCCCAGGCGTCTCGCTGGGTACCCGTGACGAGCCATTTCAACTTTCCTCTCCAGCTCCTCTTTTATACCGTGTTTCTGCTTTATTGACCGAAATGGGAGGTGGGAGCGGGGGTGGCTTTTGTGGAAGAGATCCTCTACACTCATCATTTCCCTATAAGTAATTACTAACACCACCTCTTTGTGGTCATGCACGAAGAGGAAAGATTGTCTCCTTTCTAGTTTACCACCTCTTTGTGGTCATGCACGAAGAGGAAAGATTGTCTCCTTTCTAGTTTTTTTAGAAGTCGGAAGGTTGAGAAAAGAGGAAAGATTGTCTCCTTTCTAGATTTTTTAGAAGTCTGAAGGTTGAGAAACATGAAGGGAGAGAAGCATCTCCCCGCAGCGCAGGGTACGGCAGACTGCGTGGAGGAGGACGCAGAGCGCAGAGCGATTCGTCTTTCTTTTTCTACAAGCTTGCTTAGATCCCCTTCTGCAAGGTGGGATCTACACATCCCAGTCCTCCACGTGTAGCAAGACAGGCCCCTGTCATTGGCCATAACACGGAGCCGTGGCCTCCCATTTTTTGGGACAGCGTGCCAAACACTCTGTGGCCTAGGATTTGCTGATATAACTATCATTTTAGTCAAAAATCCCAGCAAGCATCCATCCTACTACGACGCAAGCTTCGGAGCTTGTGGTAAATGGTCAGCTCGAGGTACACTGAGCTGCCATAACTTCTTGCTGACCTGCTGCCCAAGCTTTACGCAGGGAGGAGCACCCGTCCTGCCCGAAAGCGTTCTCACGAGCCGCGTTACAGCCCACGCTGTGATGACACCGAGTTTGTTTTGCTTGTTTGTGGCTGCTGAGTAAAATTTCTGGCTTTAGATTTAAAACACATACGGGAGATGATCGACTGCTCTTTCACTTGAAGGATTACATCTGGTGGACACCCACCTCTACGAACAATTTTTATTTAATTAGCCAAAACCTACATTCTGCCTTCTTGCACAGAAGATCACACTCTCCCTATCAGACTGTAAAAATGTTACATTTCTCAGATTATTCTAGAAAGAACTTAACAGGTTTCAGCTAATAAAGAAAAGTCAGTGGCACCCTTGAGTGAACAAATATTAAACCAAGGAAATTTCAGCTTTTTAGAGCCAGCATAAGATTACACAGCGCTCTGGTGGTAAAAGGGTCTAGAAAACAGACAATACCAAAAGGATCTGAAAACAGACCGGAAACATTAGCTAATACACAAATCCCACTGACACATTTCCCTTCCAAAGCATCTGTAGGTGCAAATAGTCTCTTTGAAGTGTGTAAGTGTACTCCAGTGAGCAAATTTAACAATGAGAGTCCAATTGAAAGTGAGCGGAATAGTAGGGGGGGGGGAATAAAAATACTTACAGCAGCCACAGGGATGAGAATTTCCACAAACAAACCAGCGAGTGCATGTTTTATATCTTTATCTTTTACTTCCAGGAAGTACTGAGCACATTCCTTAGAAAGAAGACATTAGAGAAACATTTAGAAAACAGAAGACAAATGTCGCTACGCCATAAACCCCACAAGCGGTATCACAGTAAGAGTCTGAATTTAAAACATGCAAAGTCATTAAGTCAGTCTTCTATTCCCTGACAACACCGACGTCACAAAACGTTAGAAACTTTAAAAGCCATTTCTCCAGCAATTAAAAAGAAATTGAAAGAACATTTGTAATACCGCATAGCTATTTGCTCTCTACTCAGAATAAAAGAGTACTCAGAATATAAAGGGATATAAATATGCACATTTTCCCTCAGATTTATTCTGAAGTTTCAAAAAATAAACACCTCTATGGAAATTATTAGAAAATGATATTTCAGTTTTTACAGACTCCTTTTCATTTGCAAGATGAGTGATGCAGACAACATTTTACAGAGACACAAGCAACCCCTCTGCACGTCTGCACACCCCGCTACACCACGCTGACTCCTCTGGGCACGACCTGAAGCACCTATGGGTGCGTTCGTGCTTTCAGGATCGAGGTCGACGTCAACGGCTGTCAAGCAGCTCTAATAAAATTGAGGACCAGTTTGCAACAACTTCAGCTACGGTGCAATGAGCGAGTTGTTCATTAAGACAAATTCTTAATCCACAATCAAGAGAAGCAAACAAAGAGATTTATTAAGTCTCTCCGAAAATGAATGGAAGGGGTAGTTAAACAAAGTGCTTCTTGGCATCTCAGCTGTCAAAAAAAGCCACGTCAAGTGGCTTTGTTCTTTAACCCAAAGCTTTCCTAAAGAAAGAACATTATTCGACTGCTACCCATTTTCATTTAGTCTTGAACAAATTATGGTGTTACAGGTTTGCCACATTACTCAGCCAACTGAGAACGGGTTCTCCCTGCGCCAGCCCTCACGAACCGCAGAGGAACAGATGATTCACACCTCTCCGAGCTCACGAGCGAAGCAGAGAAGGATGGAGCAGGACAAGGGATGAGCAGAGTGAGCGACCAATCACAGCAAGCATTACTGCAGCGTCATGACTCACGCAATCAAAATTACGGTCATTTCAGTTTTCTGCAATATTCCTTTACCTGCATGAACTGAAATGATGCTTCAAAATCCTCCACGGGATACATCTTCACCCGAAAAAACTTCATTCCCATAATCAAACTGATGATACTTTGTACTACATGAGGACTCTGTTCTTTCTGTCGCAGTTCCTTTAATTCAGTGACAAACTTCTTCCTGACAGCCTGAAACCTGAACAGGGATACCGATGGCAATTATTTGCATTCTTAGTTGCTTTTATATAATGGCTATAATTTCAAAGGGATTTCTTTAGTCTGTCAATAATAACAGCAGCTACAGTAGAAGAAACACAAGCAAGATGAACCCTGACACTTAAAATATAGGCATTTAAGAGTGCCTATAATGATCAGCACATTAGAATATGCTCGTTAACTGAACAAGAACTATGGACTGATACCAGGCCTCCCTTCCCTCCACCTACAGCTTGACAGCAAAGCAATGGAACATTGGGCTAAAGATTATTTCTTGCTTTGTTCAAATTTATTGTGCTGGATCAGGAGACAGACACGCCAGGCTACCCCTGGCTACACTTCACAATTAAAGGGTTAGTTACGGGGGCCATCAACAAACGCTGCTGTATTCAACAGTCTGTGAGTCCAGAGTCACTCTTCCCCAAACGCAACACGAGTCAGAGACTGAACTCACTTGGACTGAGCAAGAACCCCTGTCACTTCTGCATATAAGTCTGCAATAATATGCACATTCCCAGTGTTGGTTCCTGAATACCTAGAGAGAAAAAAAGAGGAGAAAAAACCAGGTATTAAACACAACTTTGTTCTTTTAAACCCCAAGCATGTTCTCGATTACATACAAACTGTTTGTTCCATAGCAAGGTGGATAATTATGGTAAAACAGATAAAAATCAGCATAAAACACACGGGTGACACATAGGTTGATGTAGTTTCATTGAGCAGACATGAGAGACATCTTCTGCATGGGAAGTTTACTATAATTCTCCAAACTCTGACTTTTCTTACTCTGGCTGGCTATGCAAATCATTCTGCACGTTCTAAGCATTATACGGAACACAGCTGTGTTCTTTCAAGATACATTTTCAGTTTAAATATATCAATCAATTTAAATATATCAATTCAGTTTAAATATATCAATCAATATATCATGTTTGTTTACAGTATCATCACCAACATGCTACGGGTGAGGCAAAGGGGAACAATCACAAGAATCAAGCACAGGCTGGTAAAACACACAAAATACTTTAAAGGACACAAGCAAAACTTACCCTTCCTTGTGTTTAAAGTGCTTAAAAGCCAAGTTTAGAACTTCATGTACTAAAGGATCTGGCACTGGATGAACAGGGATCTGAAATGCAGGTATCACTTATACGTATGTAACCACGCATGCATATATACACATATCCATGTATGAAATCAATAAACACTGGTGTGAGGTGCCCACCACCGCCAGAGGACACATCCTTTGCTGGCATACAACATCCAGCTAATTCTGCAATATATGAACGTTTACAGAACCTGCATTGACATTCCCTTAAATTATTTTGCACACTGGCTTTCAGGGATTAAATTCATAATAAACTAAACAACAGTCATGTAAATGCTACGAATTTGTCATCAAAATTGATCAGACTAGGTCACCTATGCATCTTCCCACGCTTTCTACCTTGGGTGGTGTCACTGTTACAGATGTAACCTCAAAATGCACTTCATCTCAACAGAAAGGAAAACACAACCAAAAAATCAGAATGCAGAAGAGATGGCCATCTCCATTTCAGCCTTTCTGCAGATGAAAGCAACCAAAACATAAAAATATTCCTAGCAATAAGTAACAATTTGGTGAGAAACCAAAAACAAGCACTGTTCAGAAGGCCCTATCTTACTGAGGTTCTCTTTGACATCACCTCTTTTCTCAGGTTTAAAAGAAAACATTTGCTTAAAAATCAAATGTATTCTTTAAAAAAGGCACTATATAGAATTATGAAGTGACAACATCTTTAAAATTTCAAAGAAATTTAGGTAGGGACTAGGATAACCCTACTAAACATCACTGCTTAAGAGTGATACAGAATTTCACTAAAATACGTTAGAAGAAAAGATTACAGTCTTGTCTACAGACAATGAAGCACTGCTCGAGAATTTCCTACTCCTCTGCATCAAGAAATGTATTTGCCCAAGAGCTCCCAGTTACCTGAGCTGGCTATTTACATGCATATTCATACAATGAGTCATACGCAGTCATATAAGCACGAGATTTTTGTTCCTCCACAGGCGACGTCTGTCACCCTCTCCCCGGTCGCTCTGTGCATATTACAGAAGGGGCTGGATCACGCCCTTTGCACCCTCTAAAACCGGTTTCTAAGAGCCAAACAACGACAGGGCTCCCAGGAAGACCGAAAGAGGGATGTAACGTGAAAGTAAATACGTTTGTTGATGAAAAGCCATCCTTTCTGCGCCTTGTTTCACTGCCTCGAGGGAGATTCCCATTCCAGGCAGAACACACAAACTGTCCGTCAGATAATCCTGAATTGACCGAAGGATTCTCTGAAGTGCTGTATCTACGCTCAAAAGTGTTTAAGCAGACAAAAGGTACTGAACATAAATAAAATGTTGGGTTTTACAGTGTTGATTTTTGCAGCACATCAGCAGCTTTGCCTTAGTGGACCCAAGAGAAGTGCGCTGAGATAATGCAGGCATGTCAGGACAAGACAGGAGAGGCCAAAGGCTTTACACAACTGACTATTATTACAGCCTTGCGTATACTCATCACGCATATGCATATTAAATACAAAAATTTCAAGGAGATGATCAAAACTGACCTCAAAAGCAAAAGATTAAAAGAAGTTTGCCGAAGCAAAAGAGCTTACCTGTTTTAGAACCTCTATTAAAACTAAACAAAAAATGAAATCTACAGCTAAGTCCCTCCTTTCAAGTAGATAATCTCTTTCACGTTGCTGGTCATCCCTAAAAGAAGAAATCAAGAACACGTGTTGTCATACACAAGACTGAGTACAAATCATGCAGAGAAGAGGTATCCATGTCTTCCACGCAGTCGTCGCTGCAGACGTATATAAAACGGGTGCCTAGCAAGCCTCTGGGGTTTGGTGCAGCACTGACATCTGGCCCCCTCCTGAAAGGGCCTACCACCGACCAAACCAATTCAGAAAGGGACAAACTGGCTTGGAATTATCAGCATCAGACTTCTTTCTGCGTATCAACCCCCAAACCACGAAGTCACTTCATGATTATCACCCGCTGCCTGAAAGCAGCCCCTGCTCTTCCCACGCAGAGAAGAGCCGATGACAGATCCAACTACAAAACACTTCTCCAAAAAGCACACAAAAAAATCAGACAGACTTCTGCAAGGAAAACTCTTACCCCTTCGATTTTGTGCTAGACCGAGGTCTGTATTCATAAGATTCATCTTCTGTTCCATTTTGACGCCTGTACCAGTCAAACAAGGTGCGTAATAAGGAGGGGAGACAGTGCTCTGCTACGGAGCTCATAGAGCTTATCAACTGGAAAAAGGTAAGAAAAATAGTTTAGTGTGCTGAAGCAATCTAAAAATCCTAGAATTATAATCATTTTTTCAAACTGTTTTTTAATGTCAAGAACCGTATGTCATCTAATTCTATAAAGCAGCAACTTTATAGATCATTTTCACTTCGGACAATTATTATAAATCCAGCACTTAATTATTATGACAAATTTAAGCAAAGCGTTCCAAAGCTCACGGGGATCACAGAATCCTAAATCCACACAGACAACCCATATAACACTACTGAGAAAAAGGCAGAGATTTCAGGACGTCCCTGAACGCCGTCATAGGGACCTCTGAAGTGCACGCACCTTCACGTTACAAATGACAGGTAAGAGATGCCCCTCCTCAGCCTTCCCAAACATGCCTCCTTGGTTATTATACAGACAGAACTAAGAGCTTTTTAGATATTCTGATCTACTTTTAATACATTTTGACTGTCTAGATCTCAAGCTATATTTATTTTCAGCACAACTCCCCTATCCACTGCCCTCTTGGTGTAAACCCGTACGAGTCATGAACACAGCCGTGAAACAGCGGCAACAGAAACAACTACAGAACAGAGACCTTATCACAGCATGAAACTTCAGTTCCCAAGGCTTCTTTTAACTGAAATGGAGACCATCAATGCCCAGGCCCGGAGAGGAGGAGGAGGACTGGAGAAAGGCAGCGCAGAGCCGCTCCAAACTCCCTGCCAGGAGGCAGCAGGGAGCGAGTCCATCCCCAAGCCCTGGCTGGCAAAGGAGGCAGCACATCGCTCACCGACGCCATGCATTAATTACCTCTGGCATCTTACCATTAAGAGGTTTTAACAGAAGCCATCCCCATGCTACAGCTTATCTGTTATTCACTGTTCCATAAAACCGAGGTAACACCCATGCCCTTATTTCTTATTTGGGAGGAACAACCTCATGCACCAGTACAGGCTTGGGGTGGACCTGCTGGAGAGCAGCTCTGCGGAGAGGGACCTGGGGGTCCTGGGGAACGACAGGTTAACCATGAGCCAGCAGTGTGCCCGGGCTGCCAAGAAGGCCAATGGGATCCTGGGGTGCATCAAGAAGAGTGTGGCCAGTAGGACGAGAGAGGTTCTCCTTCCCCTCTACACTGCCCTGGTGAGGCCCCATCTGGAGTACTGTGTCCAGTGCTGGGCTCCCCAGTTCAAGAAAGATGAGGAGCTACTGGAGAGAG